TTGAGTTCAGGTACACGAGTGAAGAGAACTAAGAGAATGCACTGAAAATCTTGTTAGCTTGTTCTACTTTATGGGCTCCTGGTAATCCAATGCACTGGATAGTTTACCGATATATTTAAATAAAAGTATAATAAATAATATTATGTCCCTACTAGTATAGGTTTTTCTAGTCGAACAGTTTTTATAGTTCCGTACCGGAAGTTTTACCGATTTTACATTTTTTCAGTCCGTGCCTAGGTGACATGACCAGCGATGTGAGAACGATGCAGGCATAAAATTAAATAGTAAAACAAGTCTTTCAAGAATTATGAAAATATAACGAAAAATATATATATGGCGGTACGCCTTATAATATTAAAACAAAAAGGGAAGATACGGCACTCGCGGCTTAAAAGAGATCCGCTTAAATTGTGGTGTATGGTGCATGCGCATTGCGTATAATTATTCTGTGTTATAAAGATAAAACAATACCCTCGATGCTTTTACAAAGAACACAAATAGTTCAAGATCAAATAACAATTTTTACAGCAAAACCTTTCATTCGTAAAACTATGAAAACCTTTTTTTACGTATCGTATCTTCCCCTTTTGTTTTAATTTAAGCGGTACGGAGGTGAGCGTAAGATATTCTAGACTGACAGCCTTTCCTAAGCATAGGCTTTTGCATGAAGCAAAACATCACAAAAAATAAATTAACCAATATTATAAAGTGGAAATGGGGAGAGGTAACTAATTTTTATATGCAAAGCAGTTGTGCATATAACCACGGAAAACTATATATGTAATATAACCATAAAATAACTATGTTTCTACATTTTATCATAATAATAAGGGCTGCACATAAGTGAGATTACAGAAAATCACATATTTTAGCCCTGCCTTATTAGGTTTGCAGCTATCGTAAGAGTTCTATCTATGGCTGTTTCCGTGGATACTATTCTACCCACTTATTAAGTTTGCAGCCATTGTAGGAGTTCTATCTATGGCTGTTTCCGTGGATACTATTCTACCCACTTATTAAGTTTGCAGCCATTGTAGAGTTCTATCTATGGCTGTTTCCGTGGATACTATTCTACCCACTTATTAAGTTTGCAGCCATTGTAGGAGTTCTATCTATGGCTGTTTCCGTGGATACTACTCTACCCACTTATTAAGTTTGCAGCCATTGTAGGAGTTTTATCTATGGCTGTTTCCGTGGATACTATTCTACCCACTTATTAAGTTTGCAGCCATTGTAGGAGTTTTATCTATGGCTGTTTCCATGGATACTATTCTACCCACTTATTAAGTTTGCAGACATTGTAGGAGTTCTATCTATGGCTGTTTCCATGGTTACTATTCTACCCATTTATTAAGTTTTCAGCCATTGTAGGAGTTCTATTTATGGCTGTTTCCGTGGTTACTATTCTACCCACTTATTAAGCTTGCAGCCGTTGTAGGAGATCTATCTGTGACTGTTACCGTGGATACTATTTTACTCAATGGGTCATGGATACTACTATAAAATAAATTGACAATTTTATGTGGTAATAGCTGAGGTACAAGGACCACATAACGTTTCAGGAGTAAGTGTAATGCATACCCCCTCAACATTTCATTCGGTGCAGGAGAAGAGGTATGTGATATGATATAACTTTGCTTCCTCACTCAATATTCATAATGAATAGCAAATTAAGTAGGATATTACCTAAAGTGAAAGGAATAATCATGGAAAAAAATTTAAACTGTCTGCAAAATTGAAAATGGAACTAAAAAGTAAAAAATAATATCTAGTTCATGATTTGGAAGTCGGGCGGGGTCAAGATTGAAACATTTAATAGATTTTCGTTTCTGATCGGTAATAATACGTCTTTCAATTTTGACCCGCCCGTCTTCCAAATCATGAACCAGATAAGTACCTATTATTTTTTACTATTTATTTCCATTTTCGACTTTGAAGTCGGTTTTATTTGCTACTAGTGGCCCGCCCTCGCTTCGTTTCGGTGTAGAGCTGAAGTGTAGACTACAGTTTTTGTTCTCAGGCTTGTATTATACACAATGACATTCATCCATGATTCTTCTTATACCTGCATGCAAAGTCTCAGCCCGATCGGTTTAAAATTGACAAAGTTTCATACAAACTTTCATTCCCTATTTTATCCTCTTGGGGGTGGAATTGATCAAAATTAGACTTGCAACGAATAGTATATTGGGCAGTATACCGAATATTCGGCGAGGCCCCTGACCGAATAGCCGAATATTAGGCAAAAGTATTCGACTGGATTTTAGCGCCAAAAACTTGTACAGACTTGTTTCGCGCTCCTTTGTTTTGTTCTAATCTGCCGTCCTCAAGCTAAAATGCGCCTAAATGACAAAACTAACTTTTGAATATGACCAAAAACGCGCGTAAACTTTGAATTATTGCTATTATGTAACCATTCATCACATGACTGAATGAATTAAAAACTGTTAACTTGTTTAATACAGAAAATGATTAAATGATGTACCTGTTTTATGTACCAATGACTACTTAGTCTTAATAAATGATTATAAAAGAAATGAGAAATTTTCATTACCACTTTAATTCAAATACATAGAATCCTCCATTTTTCCAATTCAGAAGATGATTTTGTAGGTACCTGTGTTATGTACATGACTACTTAAATGATTATATAACATTATTATTAATTTTACTAATTATTTCTCTATGACATAATATATTTTTTAAGTATTCGGTATTCGGCCGAATATAATAAAAGCAGCCGAATAGGCCGAATACCGAATAGTAACCGAATATTCGTTGCAAATCTAATCAAAATCCTTTCTTAGCGGATGCCTACGTCATAACATCTACCTGCATGCCAAAGGAGATTGCTTAGCTTCCATACATGTTTGGCCTAAAGACCAATAATCATGAAAAATTGTTTCCTAGATTCGAAATTATATATAAATTACTATAGAAACGAATATTATTGACGGACACCCCTGAGAACTTCTATAAACCATATGAACTGAATGATTTTGAGGTTGTTTGCAAATAGGTACATCGGTATTAAAATAATAAAAAACAAATAAGTAACGAAATTATGTATTAGATTCAGGTATATAAATCATGTAGATTAATAGATAGTTGCCTGTTTTTAAAGTTAATGCATAAGAGTTACTTTTCAAATCAGGTATCATCTATGCATTTCCGGTTATAATAAGGTACTCTGTGACAGAAGTAACTCTATGGTACTCACATTTTCTGTCACAGAGTTATTTGTCAATGAGCCACAGATTAGAGAGAATTTTTAAATTCTCGTTAACTAAAGAAAGCTTATTATTTTTTATTATGTTTATATTATAACCATATTTCAGATTTTGAGTGTATCACACCTTATAATGTGTTTGGCGAAAAATGTATGGCAATAGACTTTATGATGTCGCCTACCATCTATAATATTTGTCTTAGCACATTTGCATGTAGTAAAAATGATAATATACTTGTGGATATTAATACTACAGTGAAATAAAAAAAAATGTTTTATTTTATCGATCATTACATAATAGATTTGTTTTGATGTTATATAAACAACTTCGATCACTCTTTGGCTGAATGTTACTACACCCATAGCCATTAAAAATGATTCGTATGTTTTCCAAACCGGTAAAAATATGAGTCCCTTTTAAAATTAATATATTATACAAAGGTATCCGTTAAAATCTACTGACTGTAAAATAAAGTATAAATTACGCCTAGAATTACCGTATATGTCAATATTTTTTGTACATTTAGGCCAATTTGAGCAATCTCCTTTCAGCCCGATCCGTCTAGTGGTTTGGTCTGTGCGTTGATAGATCACTATGTCAGTCAGCCACCTTTGAGTTTTATATAATATAGATATTTGTTACGTTACCGTAAACTATAATATTGCTTCGCGGACAAAAAGCCCACCCCGCCCCGTCGTTCGTCTGCAAAACGCGTTATAGTCAAATGCACCGATTGTATATCACGCCACAAATAAGAGCTTTTCAGGCAAGCCCTAACCTCATCAGCTCGGGTTCCCCGTGGTATTACCGGTAAGGTTTGTCGGAAATCACCACAAAATAAAACTGTGATACCACCCATTAGTCGTTCATTTTTTCTTATCCGTTACACAAAAATAATCCTTGTAGCATGATTCAATATTCGCGTGCGACGGCGCGATGGCTTATTTCACGTATAAGTTTGGTGTTTCTATACCGATTTCTATGATTCTTTTTTTATTGAATAGGTAATAATGTCAACTTTTTTAAATTAGGGATGAGTGAGAGTATTATAAACGTAAGAGTAAACAAATATAATCAGAATGCTCCGAACTGCTAAGCTATCAGGAGTTACACGTGTTATTGTGAGTCAACCATAAAAGATAGATATATGCTGTTGCGAGATATTTTTTTGTAGAATATTTCCGTGATACATAATTTCTATGTAACTTTAACCATTAAGGCTGCACACGCGACGGAAGCTTAAAAAATGGAGTAACTTCTCCCGTTTTCCCAACATTTCCCTTCATTACTCTGCTCCTATTGATTGTAGCGTGATGAAAAGTATACTATAACCTGCCCAGGAGTATGAAGAATAATTGTACCAAGTTTCGTTAAATCCGTCGAGTAGTTTTTGTTTCTATAAGGAACATACATACAGACAGACAGACAGACAAACAAGAATTTTACTGATAGCATTTTAGCATTAGTATCGATCACTAATCATCCCCTGATAGTTATTTTGAAAATATATTTCATGTACGGAATTGACCTCTCTACAGATTTATTATAAGTATAGATTTAATTTTTCTTTATTTCATCCATTTTAGTGAAAATTACTTCGTTCAAATAAACAATAACACAATTGACGGAGATATCGGTGAACATGCATAAAAAAACATCGTGCGTGCCTTTGAAATTTCAAGGTTTCCCTCGATTTCCCCGGTGTTTAAAGCATGAGCTGTTTAACATTAAATGTCACTAATCAGGCTAATAAAATGAAAACCATAAATTCAATTATAAAAAATCACTCATTTTAATCTTACAAATCTACAATAATAATAACAGGACAATTTTCATATTGGGAATGCTGAAACCTATTTTTTTAAAGAGAAAACATATTATGGTCAGGGAGCATGACCTGCGTTTGATATGGAAATGGATTCTGGTGCATCGATGGACCTTCGGCTAACTCAGCTGCGTAGTACAGCGTCTCTCCGTCCTGAATCGGCTGAAGATTTGACAAATTTAGAAATTCCATTTGATTCTGATGGGGCATGGCTTGAGCATACTTTTCAATGTCGAGTGAGCTAGCACCTACGACGTGAGAGCGCGTGTGGAAATTCAGATGGCTGCTTTGCTTAAATCTCCGTCCGCAGACGGAGCATTCAAACGGTTGTATGTTGGTGTGTGTTCGCATATGTTGCCTCAGGTGAACAGATTGGGAAAAGCATTTGCTGCAAATGACGCATTTGAATGGTTTTATTTTAGTGTGGGTGCGCAGGTGTTGGTCCAAGCCCGCCTTCTGCGTGAAAGCTTTCGGACAGTAGGTGCAAGCGAAAGGCCTTATGCCCGTGTGCATACGCATGTGCTGTTGTAATCCTCCTTGCTGGGTGAAGCGCTTAGAACATAACGTGCATTGGTGGGGCTTTGTTTTGGCGTGAACTATGCGATTGTGCTCCTCGTACAGGACATTATCAAAGAACGTCTGACCACATATCCGACAAGAAAAAGTATACCGGTGTTGAAGTGGAGCTGCTAGAACACTACTGGGTGCGACAACATTATCATTGTCCAAGCGCTTCTCGCAAACTTGGCAACGGAGTGCTGCATTGCGTCTCTTTGTATGTTCTTCTCGGTAGTGCATCGAGTAGTCGCAGCAGTTAAAGAATATCTGACGGCATTGTAGATCTGGACGCATGGTCGACCGAAATGTGCAGGTGAATGGACCTCTGCGAAAGAAGAGCTACTATGAATAATATCTAGGTATACCTACATTCCCTGCTGCCCATGTGTCTGTCTTTTAATCTTATCACAAAACAATATATAAATCATTGTTACGATATTTTTTATCTACTAGTACACTTAGTCCAGTCAATGAAGGCTTAACTTTGCCATTTTGAGTTGATCACCTGCAACCAACGCGAAAATTTCTGCAAGGGTTCGTAGATTAATATACTAAAATTGCAGGGTGCTGCATTGACGGCAAAGGGTGAAAAAAAATGCGAAATGGTGCAAAAACGAGTTTTTCGTCAATATCTCGCGACTGGCTGGAAAAAAAGAAAAAGTTCCTAGCACAAAGTTGTAGAAAATTGAATTTCCTACAAAAAAGGTATCAACATATTTTCGCGTATCTCCCATAGTTTTTGCACAAAATGCAATTAAAGGTGCAAAATAAAAAAAGAAAATTTAATGTTAATGGTTTTTTTTCCATTTTTAAACGATCCTACGGGTCAAATTCGCAATCACCACTTACTGAAATATTTAAGGATGAGTTTTCGGCAGTCCACAGAAATGAAAATTGTCTACCAAAATGGTAAAAAAATTACCACCGAAATGATACAGCCAAGAACATCGCCTTTGTAGTAGAAGGGTTCCCTATTTTGAAATTAAATAAATTTCCTTATTCTTTGTAAATATTTAGGTTCATTATTTTTTAATAAGAATTGTTAATCAAGAATTATTTAATTGTAATTCCCATTAATTATTATTACTACTTATAATTATTAATATGTACATTTTCAAAATTACGAACAAAGCGCGTTTAGAAAGCGAGAAGTTTATTAGTTAGTAAATCGTCCCCTTAGTGCCAAAACCGATTATCTGCACTTTTCCGCTACTGAACTTTTATAATACCAATCGACCTGTCTCATTTAGCCGCATCTACAGGTAAAACCCATTATGCTCTACGACGCATACTTCCTGAAATAGCTAATGAATAAACAGAATAACTGCAAATTATTTCCAAAATTCTTGATTTAAAACTTAATAAACCTATTCAAAACACTTAAGCTTGTAAATGTATTGCCGCTGAAACCAAGTTTCGGATTTAAACTCATTTTTCATGTAGACACTTAGAGTAAATATCCTGTGTGTATCCTGTAATTGCCTTTGACTGTTGTTGACTTGACTGTTTGAATTTTAACAGATATTTTACTAGATGAAGTAAAAACTAACAAATCTGTCGCTTTTTGCAAAAAAATATATATAATATGTTTGCGTTATATTTGAAGCAAGTAAAAGAGGATAGACCGAATCGATCGACAGGTGACCTTTTAGCGTACGTGACATATATCTGGGGTGAGGCTATCGATAAGCGAGGTGAGTCTTTGGCTATCAGCCTTAACATCACCAAGGCTTTAATAGGGTCTGGCACATAAACCTTCTCTCCAAGCTTCCTGGATACGGTCTGCCTACTCAGTTCTGTGCCTGAGTGGCTGACTTCCTGCATGAGCGTCAATGGACGGCGACGGATGTAGTCCGCAGTTCATGTCAGTGAATGCCGGTGTTTCTCAGGACTCCGTCCTATTCCCTACACTCTTTTTGCTGCATTCAATGATTTAATTCCTCTTGAGAATATTCATTGCTATGCAGACGATAATACAGTGCATGCGGGATATTTTGGATACGCAGCCGCTGGACAGGTAGAAACTAAAGAGAAACGGGAGAATGTTGTCATTGAACTCAATCAAGATTTGGACCACATTTCGGAATGCGGTACCAAGAACTTCGTTGAGTTCATTGCCAAGAAAGCCCAGGTCTACGCTTTCACGGTAAAACTAACGTTTTTTCACGCCTGAGCAACTGTGCTTGTTGTACATGACGTAAGTACGGTCTTGCGTGGAATATTGTTCGCACCCCAGAGGATGGCTCCGCCAAGTACTTTTTTAATGCTTTGGATAGGTTACAGCGGCGCGCGATCCGCATTATTGGCGATAAGGAGGTGACTAAACACCTCGAGCCTCTTCAATTACGCCGTGATGTGGCGTTATTAAGCGCGTTTCATCGTCTATACCATAGCGCATGTTTTGAGGAGTTATTGTCCCTTAACCTACCTTCCCCTTTCCTACAGAAGTCTACACGCGCTGGCTTACGTTGTCACCGACTTACTGTGAACTACTATTCCCACTATTCCAACGTGAACAAAGAAATTTGGAACTCATTTCTTTGTCAGACTATCTGCAAATGGATTACTTTGCCCTCTTACGTGTGTGAAGTAGCAATTCTTCAGGCCGGCAAAATGAGGATAGCTGGTGTAGCAAGTAATACTGCTGTACCAGCTATCTTCGAGTCTAGACTCCTCCGTCACCTAACCTCTGGTGGATCTATTTGTCGAACCCATTTATAAAAAAAAGATCTATAGCAAAGAAAAAAGATCTTGATGATTTGTGCAACAAAGGTGTCATACCTGAAGAGTAACATGGATTATACAGATCTTTGGCTACAGAAACAAGCCAATCTGATCGTTTTCCTTCAGAAACCATTCTGATGACTCATCATATATAAGCGAGTCAACTGCAGATGAATAATACTGATTTTTTTACACTTATTTAATTAGGAATACTATCGGCCGCCAACAAATTCGTCCGTTTTAAATTTAATATACATTTTTAAACTAGATATTTTAGATAGAAATACTACTGCACCAGAAATATTGAACCTACAGTATCTAGATAAATGTACATCATAAACCGAAACTATTTAATATTGACTCAAGGATCTCTAAAAACATATGGATGTATCATTTCGGCGATACTTTCATTCCCTGGACTCTTATCGGCAATACTGTCCACCGAATCAATTGTCCCCATATCACTGAAATGATATACTTACTATTTGTCGGGAGTCCACAATGACGTTGTTGCGCGTGCGTGTGCTCCAGCGAAGGCGGACTGAACAACGCAATGTAGACGAACCTATTTCACAAAAACTTACTGTCCATGGAAATGATAACTTTTTCCAGGACAAAATTTGAGTGCTTGTTACATAAGGAAGAAGGTAAACAAACAGTAGTAAGTTTTGTTGATAGGCTATATTATATATTAATGGTATGAAAGTTAGTTTCAATCGAAAAAATAAATGTAACTACAGGGGAAGTAATTTTACGAGAGGAATTGGGTTTAAGACAGGTTACCGTGATGATAAAATGCCACTTCGTATTTTTTTATTTTATGGAATAGAGCCCATTACTCAATAATTATTTTTGACAATGTTGAGAAGTACCTACTTAACTAAGAAAAAAAGTCATAATCATAAATCAGCACATTGCACTGCCGCTCTGAGCAATGCCGTGTATTTTTTTTTTGCTTGGGGAGATCACCTCTACATGCTTCATTGAGATTTAATTAATATGTTTCGGGCATTTTTTTATTTCCTTTTTCATATAATAATCTTGACAAACAAAATGATTTCAATTTTATTATATGATCATTTATAAGAATATATATTGCAAATATATGTTTTAAATGCAAATTTTGCGCTGAACACTATGAAATAAAAATAAATATTAAAGTTAAATTGAAATCAATTTTTTTGTCTTTCTTAGTAGTTATCATTTTAAACCAAATACGCAGAATAGTTCACCCAGTAATGTTTATCAGTGATTAATCAAACAGAAAAATAACATTGTTGCCCAGCGCGCGATTCAATAATGAATGAATAAAAGTGAGCAACTCACTCCCTAGCGCGCGAATTGTGCACGGAAGAGACGGTTAAACATGAATAGCTGATTTTAGCTGAAGCATAAATTTTAAAATAACGATATGTAACGCTAATAAATTATAGTGGAAGAAAAGAGTAAGTAATATATTTTCTTTTTTTATTTTGCACCTTTAATTGCATTTTGTGCAAAAACTATGGAAGATACGCGAAAATATGTTGATACCTTTTTTGTAGGAAATTTAATTTTCTACAACTTTGTGCTAGGAACTTTTTCTTTTTTTCCAGTCAGTCGCGAGATATTGACGACAAACTCGTTTTTGCACCATTTCGCATTTTTTTTTCACCCTTTGCCGTCAATGCAGCACCCTTCAATTCTAGTATATTAATCTACGAATCCTTGCGGAAATTTTCGCGTTGGTTGCAGGTGATCAACTCAAAATGGCAAAGTTAAGCCTTCATTGACTGGACTAACTTTGCTATATACTTAGCTGTTTGCCCTATTCGAAATTCGAATGAAATACCTATAACAGCATCAAAAATTGTTACATATTTTATCTACTAGTACACTTTGCTATATACTTAGCTGTTTGCCCTATTCGAAATTCGAATGAAATACCTATAACAGCATCAAAAATTGTTACATACGATATTCTTCGAGAAATAATGCAATCGGCATTTGCGGAAGTAAACGCTCCACCTTATAGAACCTAAGGTCTTATTTTACTATTAATGGGCGATTTAGATCTTACGAAAATACAAGAACAAGGCCAAGGCTGCAAGATCAACACCAATTTTGGTCAACACTACTGTCACGTCAGGTGGAAAAAGGATTTTTAAGAGAAAGCAACTAATATGATGGTACTAAAGAAAGTGAAAAGGTAACAGGGGTGGTTGACCTGCATTTAATCGAGCCTGAGATGAAACTAGTTAGGTGAGTACCTACTTCCTGAGAAAAAGGAACATGAAATAATAAGGAATCTGCTATTAGTACGTAGACGGTGTGGTCAATGAACTCTTTATTTTTATAAGGCTGGCATGGACATACAGAATGCAACACTTTAGCCTGGCCGCAAATGTACGTTTTCCTGATTCAGTTTCCTGGTCAGGAATTCCGTATCGGAAACCTGAATGTGCGTTTTTACATACAACCACACTATTTTTATTTTTTCAAAATGGAAAAATCTGACGTTCTTTTCGGACCCTAAACAATAAAAAAACCGAAACGTCTGGGCTGGGTTCACGGAATTCCGAATCTGAATTCCTGATCAGGAAACTGTAGATGTGCGCTCAGTCTTATACTAATTTATAGCTCTGAATCATAATAATGCCTGCCTACTCAATAACTGAAAAAAAAATCTTTTTTGGAGTTAAAGAAAATAGCTTTTCAACGGCTATTGTTCTGTTAATTTGTATAAATTCACATTAATTATACAGTTACCTTAAATCGACGGGAGGCTTAATAGGTCTACTGTGCGATTTCTTGTTTCCGTTCTGCTGGTACTTTTTCAGGGCTTCCATTTCCTCATCACTGCCTTCCACCTTCACTATCAAATATGTGGTGTCCTCGGTGAACACTCGAGATATCAAACGTCCGTTGGTGCCATCTCTAGACTCATTATTATCGTGCATGGGTATAAATTTGAATCCACATAAATCTTTCAAATTCTACAAAGCAAACAAGATTAAATAAGCAACTGAAACACAAGCCTATCTATAGGAAAACAACACACATAGACTCAATAACACCTATAGGAAGAAGAAAAATATATTTTTATTTCAATATACACAAAGATGGGGCGGAAAGGCTTGAATTGCGACCACGGCCCGGATGACGCTTAGTGGGCAGGCCCCCCACCAGATGGACCGACGATCTGGTGAAGGTCAAAGAAAGCCGATGACGCAGGACCGATCCTTGGGGGAGACCTATGCTCAGTTGGCGTCGTACGGCTGAGATGAAACATACACAAGGCTCCATCATCCGTCGGTTGACGTGTCTTTCTTATGAATTCATACAAATATTCTGTTCTGATCACAATTCGTAATAGACAGAACCTGATTTTACTGTAGCTATTTACGGGCTTGGTGTTAAATATTTTACAATGATGCAGAACATTTAGGTCCGTATTACAGAATGACAACTAAGTGTCGATCTTTACTTGAATACAGTTAGAAAGGGATATCGCTATGTGCTATATATAGCGACATCCCTTTCTAACTATGCTCAAGACTAGATCAATCACTGAGAATCTTTCTATATATAATACAGGCCTTAGTATGCGAGCCCGGCTCTGATTGTCGTTTTTTTATAAAATTAATAAACTTTTAATTTCCTTCGTGTGCTTTCAAAATACGACAACAGATGCCTGTTTTTATATAACTTAATAAAACATTGACATTACAACTTAAACTATATTACCACCTCATCGACATATCTCCGAGTCAGTGCTTCTACACGTTTCCCGTCCCTGGCATCATGCTGCATATTTGTATGGTTCTGTAGAGCTACTGCATTATAAAATGATTTTTTGCATATCGCACACGTGAATTTTGCAATAAGCTCTTCTTGGAATAGCAAGTTATCCTGAAATCGACATCAATAAAAAAGAAAGGCAGAACGTATCATACTAGAATGAGAGAGTCTGCCTGTGATAGTATCCTCCACCTTCAGGGCAAAGAATCCAACCAACTTTGTAATGTTTTAGCTGTAGTGATGTCAGCGATCCAGAAGATAGTATTTTATCTTTGTCAATAAAATTGTTATTATCTACTTAGACAATAGGTCACTACCACAACTTGTATAAATTATCGTTAATGAACACTAACTTTAGCGAACTTGCAAAATTCTTGATAGTATTAAACGATAAGGAGTAGTGTCAGACACTCGTGACAGGGGCAACAAGTTTGAGTGTAACGTAGTAGCATTTCTCCTCGTCACAGAACAGAGAAAGAGCTTGAACGTTGGAACCTACCTCACCGACAGAAACACAACACGACCAAAAGGTAGTGTTTTTTTACTGTGGTCTTCTGCTTCTGTGGAGGTGACTTCGCTTACGCTCAAATTCGAGCGGAACAGATGAATTTCATCAAATTCGGTCTTTAGCAAAAACAATTCTTTAAACTTAAAAAAATGTTTTGCCATGTATAGGTAGACCACTTAACTGGGTCCTCGCCTGCGGGGTAAAGCACGCACATTCTTGTCAAAATTACAAGCGCCCACCGCCCGCACCTCTCATGGTGCCCGTTCTCGTCCTCCCCCACATAATGTAACCCGCAGGTGAGGGCTCGGTTAAGCGGTTTAACTACAATACAATTTAGTAACTTAAATAAACATTAAAACAAATAAAAAGGTGCTTTATCTTAAAAAAGTATTTTAAAAATACGTATTTGAAATTTTTTTTTTATAAATCCTAAGCTTTTGCTACTGCACACACTTTTTTAAAAGTTTTTAAATAGTTTTTGACATATTGTATAAACTTAAGATCAGAGGTTGCCTGGAGAGCATATAATTGATACAACTTGTCTCTACTATTGTAAATATCAGGTGTGGCCCAATCACTAAATTTCTTTTTAGAGCTATCCATCACACATTCACACAAAATATTATTATTATTACAAACTGATAAGTACGATATTTTATGATAAAAACCATCTTTAAATTTATTTATAGCCGTTTGTGTAATTGGCCTACAAGTTAGGTTACGTTTGGGTGAAGCATGATGGTGTTCAAGAGAGGCTAATTGTCCGCTATGATCATAATTAATAAAATTAATTATAGATTTGTTAAAAACATTTCTTTTACAAAAAATATTATCCAAACAGGTCGCTGATGCATTGATGTGGATAGGCTCGACTGTAATTTCCAAATTATCAATATACTCATATTATGATCATTTCTTCAAGTTCCACACAAGATAGTTCAATATTACATTCAACTGAAAGTGAAACAAATTTCTCTACGTTCTTTGTATTTGCCTCCGCTAATAGCCGATTTCCTACAAAACTAACAACTGTATAATTATCTAAGCCTGAAACTAATTCATAATCTTTGAGCCAGTCTGTTATACATAATATGCTCATATTTATTGAATTTAAAAATAAGTACAGTTCTAGGTGTTTACCAGAAAAGCCTTGTATATTTAGGTGAACAATATTCAGATATTTAGACTTTTCCTTGGTCATGACATAGCTAAAGAGCTCTCTGTTGTCTTACAAACTAATTTAAATAACAGTTAAGGTCAGTATTTGAAACAAATTCCAAAGTCCTGCAAACGGCCCTAAACTGGAGTGCGGGCATTGTATTTCAAAACTAAGATATGCCCAGAACCACTTAAATTGGACTATTGATGATTGGTCAAAAGTTATGTTCGCCGACGAATCAAAATGTATGCTTTACAAGCACGATGGAAGACACGGAGTATATAGAAGACCTGGGGAAAGATTCAAGCAAGCATGCATCGAAGAAAAAGTAGCCTACGGTGGTGGGTCTGTACTTGTGTGGGACGGAATTTCTTCAGAGAGTCGCACAGAACAGTGGTGTTCATAAAAAACGGCTTTATAACTAGCAAAGAAATGTAAAAGAAATCTTGAATGAACAAGTTGGTACATTTATGGTCAATTTGGGTATAATATGGTAATGCATGACAATGCCTGACCTCATACAGGTTGGATTGTGAATGACTACCTTCATGAGCTGAACATTACTCGTATGGATTCGCCAGCACGCAGGCCGGATATCAACCCGATCGAGCATGCTTGGGACGAGCTAGTAAGATGCGTAGAACAACGAAACAATTACGCTTCGGAGATCTCAAAACTGCTCTCACAGTCCTCTGTGTAAGAGAATATTCACCAAAATCGTATAAGAAACTTGTACAGCATGCCAAACTGGGTAAACGCAGTAATGGAAGCTCGAGGAGGCATTAAGAAGTATTAAATTTCAAGAAAATCGTAATGTTTTTCAAAAATGTCATGTTTCCTATTTTTGTTTTAAGGCGAGATCAGACATTTTTTTTTTCTTTATGTATTTTTTTTAAATAAAATGTGATGACTCATAAATTTTATTATTTTCATTTAAGGATTATTTAATCGTCGAATAATTAGAATTTAGTTCATTAAGCTAGCATTCTTAGTTTGCGTGATTTTTAGGATTCTTTGTGACCCGGATTCATTTCTCTCGAGTGTAGTGATATTAATTGGTTTTTCTAATTTCAAAAAAAAACTCCTGCTTAAATATATTGCGGTAACTACCAGCAACTACGGAACCGTACACTGCGCGTGGTCCGACACGCACGTGGTCGGTTTTTTTTTCCTTTTGATAGATTTTTAAATATATATTTATAGTCATGGTGACTTTTTGCTGTTATTATAATTTACTTTCCATGAAATACAGTGAATTCTAAAAAGTTTAACTTTTATTTAATAAATTTGCCTTCCAAATGTCGGCTGCAAAATAAGGTTTATGCTCCCTTATAAAATTATCATATCATATACATTTGGTCGTTAGCCCGAATACGAGTACCACGAATAAGTGTAAATGAACGGAATCGAGCACTCCCATATTCCTTTTGTTTACCCGACACCGTCTTCCAGCCCGTGTTCCAGTGTAAAACTGCTCGAATTCCAGAAATGTCTTTCGTGCACCAGAATACGGGCTAACGACATAATGTAATTACGCCATAACAAAATCACTGGGAAATTTAAACTTTGATTTTATTTTATTTTTCGGTATTTTTTATAATATTAAACCCCCTCCCCCCATGAGTACTCATACTTTTGACATAGAGAGAATCAATTTAGACGTTTTATACCCGGAAAAATGCGTTGCGCATACCCCGCCACTGGGTAGGCGTCGGGGTTATGTGGGACTCCCCCCTACCTCCTGCCCACGAAATCAGCCAACCCTAGGGCTGGCTCAGTGGCTGCACGGGATGGGGGGGCCCTACCCACTAAAACTCCGGGATGTGCCCTCCTTGCCCTTAGATTAAAACAAAAAGGGTAGATACGGTACGCTCTTACTTGCATCAAACAAAAACTGATCCCACTTTACTACATATGCAACACTCACACATCCACCTGTTTGTAAAGATACAGTCGAACGAACGAAACAGCAATATAAGTTTCAACGGCAGCGCGAACGGGACGGCGAGTTCCGCGTCACTGCGCTACCGACCAATCACGCGACCAGTACTCGACGTCACTACAGAGTAGCGTCAGAGAAAAAAATAAAAGTATTTTTTATTAAATATAAGTTTTTTGTTAAAATTCAATAAAAAAATTCCACATTGAGCAATTTTCAATCTACTTTGAAAAGCTGAGGGAATGAAACTGTTTACAAGTATACCTACTAAAAGTAGGTTTTTTACATGATAACGTCAACATTTTTTTAAGGTATCTTATACTGCTGGATGTGGTCATTTTTATTGTATTCAGTGTTTAAAGAATCTAATCGAGATACAATTTTTACTAGAAACTTTACACTTATTATATTTCAATACCAATCATAAACTGATTTGATTTGACACACATTATTATATCACCTGATAAAAAATCAGTTAACAAGCGTACCTACTAAAAGTAGGTTTTTTATACGATACCGTCAACAATTTTTTAAGATACCTTGTACTGCTGGATTTGGAAATTTTCATCGCCTACAGTATTTAAAAAATCTAATCCGAAACACTTATTATATTTCTCTTCTATAAGCATGAATTGCTTGTTTTATAAATCTAATCTAAACTATACTTTAAATTATTCATTTAAATAATAAAAAAATATAAAGGTAAAATTAAATAACAAAAACAATAATCATCATCGATAAATAAAAATAAACATAAGTTATGCCTTGGGCTTTATAACAGAAGTAAGAATCTTACTGTGTGGCAATAGGGTTGATGACAAAACCTTTTTTTCTTCGTCGGCCAGGTAGATTAATAAAAGTATTGGACAAGTATTTATTTCTTATTCACATAATCAAAACATTACAGAGATATGTTGATATGAAATTTCCCATGACGTTACGTCTTGGTACAATTTTTACTTAGAAGTGACTTTACAAGCCTTCTCTCCCAAATTTTCACGCGCTCTATCCTTTTGGTATTAGTTTCCAAAACATAGAACCATTCTAAATCGAAAGAAGTCTTAAGGTACTGACAGGTTAAGGGATGACTGTGTTTAAAGAATATTGTGCCAAAAACCTGGCAATCAATTAACCCCGATTTTAATACACCATTGAAGTACACATTTTTCAATAATTTTCTCTACATCTATTACATTAAATACCAAACTGATTGATTTTCTTTTGTATTTGTTTTATTTCGGTTGTAAAATCGTTAATTCAATGAAGCTAAAAAAACCATGACTTAATAAATACATATTAAAAAAACATATGATCTTACTATTTTAGACGCCCTTATTTTATATTATTTATGCTGTTTTATTACAAAATGAAGCATGGGAATCGGATCAAGAAATCAAGACCCGGATAGAAATCGCTCGAGCCTCTTTTAATAAAATGAGGAAAGTTCTTTGCTGTCGTCAACTGAATATAAAGCTCCGAGTCAGGCTACTCATGTGCTATATCTGGCCTATTGTCATGTATGGTTGCGAAACGTGGACCCAGAAAGAAGACACTACAAGACGCCTACAGGCATTCGAGATGTGGTGTTACCGTCGCATGTTACGCATTAGTTGGACGCAGAGGGTCAGGAACGAAACCGTGCTTCAGCGCGTTCATATGTCCCGGAAAATGTTGCCTTCTATGAAAAAGCGCAAGATAGAATATCTTGGCCACGTGCTCAGGAACGATAGATACATGCTGCTGCAGTTGATAATGATAGGCAAAGTGGACGGAAAGAGATGTGCTGGGCGAAGAAAAAAGTCATGGCTCCGGAATATCCGGGAGTGGACCGGTGTTGCCTCCGTCGAACAGTTGTTCCGGCTGGCTGCTGATAGAACTACATACAGGAAGCTAACGGCCAACCTTCAGGATTGAAGAGGCACTGGAAGAAGAAGAAGATTACAAAAACAATTTTAAACCCCACAAAGAATGAAAACGCCATTTCTATAAGTACAGAGTATATTAAAGCTAAAATGTCTGAAAAAATAAATAAACCTCTTCGAAGAAACCAAAATGTAATGAGTTTAATAAATGCAGCATATTTTATACCTACATAAATTAATATTCCAAAAAAAAATTACGAAATATTTTTTTTGTTGACTCTACTCAATTTTTACTCTCGACTGACATTACAATGGCAAATATTCGCGCTTATGCTTTTTCTCCCTCATACAAACGTTTACAAGTGTTGTTGTCTTTTTCTTAATAACAAATACCGAATAAGATTCAAAACAAACAGCAAATTTATGAAAAAATATATTTTATAGTACTTACGAATGAAAAGTGATGCCGTCGGTTTTATTTTTAGTACTTGAGCAATTTGAACACTTTTTAAAACAACACTTAGGCATTGTTTTATCTTATAATCACAAAATTTTAGCAATATTTCTTTTTGACGTTCACATGTACGTCATTTGCATGTCAAGTTGTGACTAAAGCGATTGTGGCCTTGGGCCACAATTTATGCGGATCACTTTTGTGAGGCTAGTGCCGTATCTACCCTTTTTGTTTTAATCTAAGTCCTTGCCAGCCGTGGCGGCGTGGGGTCCTTACTGGGAATCAACCACGCCAACGCGGCTTCTATACGTCTGATCATATTCAGTTTCACAATATTTTTATTTGCTAAGACAACAAAACCACATTTATTTACAGAATATTTTAATGTTATTTTGTAAGTAACTGGAATTCTTTAGATATTTTCAGTCACAGTGACATAGTAAACAAAATGGCGGCCATGACGTTGCAGGTCGGTTGAGTGGACTTATAATAGAACACTCAAGCACTAAACGTCTCCTGCGATCTAGGATTTATGTAGATAAAATAAACAAGCACTAACATTTCATTATATCGTGTAACTAATAACCTAATAAATTTCAAATTAGTTTTTTTTTATATTAAAATATTATATTTATTATATTTTAGTTATAAATTCTTTTTCACAGAATGTGAAAAAAAAATTTAAATTATAATAATAAGTGCATCAAAAAGTCAATTCTCGACAATTTGGTCGATAGAACAAACAAGCACTGGAGAGATAAAAAATTGTTAATTTTTGGCATTTTTAAGGGGTTCTAGTTTCTTTACAACACCAGATATCGTAAAAGGACATAGGAGCATAGAATAAGTAAAATTATATTTTATGAATGAACGTATGAAAAACCTAATGTTCTTTTCGTACAAAGATAGACAACTTACCTTCGTTAAGCTTTTGTTTACTATGCTGATACCAGGTACTGGATCTGGGACAGACACTTGTGATTTCATTAGAATTCCGGTTGGCTCAACCATCCTCATTCTTAAAAAAAAAAAGAATTAACCATAGATGTTCCCTATCTAAATCCATATAAATTCTCAGGTCAGATCCTATTCTTTTAAAAATTTTGTCATTGGTGCACAAGCATCATAATTTTATTATATAGTCAAGTTCACCATGAAAACATATATATACAATACATAATGTACCTAGGTACATATCATAATATTAATACATAGATAAGTTTTCAATTGCCACAAAAGAAACAAGAAACTCACCTTTTTATTTTTAGCAAAATAAAAATAATATTGCATACTTAAATTCAATGCTACTTATATTTAATATAACTTTAAATAATTTAATTTGAAATAATCCGCCATCTTGACATGTCACTATCAGATCTATTGTCTGTGGTACATATGTTTTCTCCCGTATTGGAAAAGTAAAGGGTACAGTCCACACAGCCTTATCTGTAGTGTTTTCTTTTGTTTCTTTTATTTTCATCAGAATGAGACTTTGAAGCATTATGATTGATTATAATTATAAGTAGTACCGGTAACCATCTATTCTTGACATGATCTCCGTTTGGTATCTCAGTATACAGTGCGACCAAGATCTTTAAGAATGTGGCGAAAATTGGAACTAACGCCACCGTCTTTGTAAACGTCTTATTTTTGTTTGTCATTTACATAAGCAGTGGCACTCTCCCTGAATTGTTACTGTCTCACTGTACCCAAATTGGCACATTATTCTGAGTGAAAAATATATAAGTAACATTAGTGTACGGAATTGATAGTGGTATATATTCTGGCATGATTCTCTAAATTCAAAACTAAATTTAAATCAGTCTTTCCTTTTTATTCTGTATAAAGAACAACAAGGATGCACTGTTGTCAAATTTAAGTTTAGGTTTAGATAATCCCGTGTAATAATTTAGGTGATGCCAGAATCGACATCACTAAAGACTAAGGTGTATGGTTTACTTTCCTTTGCCTTTCATATTAAACATTATCCAAATGACAGATAACTGTCGTCGTAAATTCGTGACAGTGACAGTCCGTGACACATCATACAAAATAAAAAATCGTGCATTATTTCATGCTCTACATTTAAACTTGTTTTGAAAATCAACAAATTGAAAAGGCACACTCTCAGGTTCAATGTTAAGCTGAGTATCCAGAAAATAAAATTCATTTAGCAATAATGGCTGGCTCAGCATTAAGACGTTTGATGGCGGAGTACAAACGTAAGTGGTCACTAAACAAACTTTGATAACTTTTATTTACTATTTCGTGGCAAGGTACAATAACTTTTATATCATTCAAAATAGTGCTTAATAATTCCTTTAGCTATGGCTCCTTTAAAAATGTTCACAGTAGTTTTATAAATTACAGAACTGACTCTTAATCCACCTGAAGGCATCATTGCTGGACCAGTGAACGAAGAAAACTTCTTTGAATGGGAGGCCCTGATCACGTAAAATCTATAACTAGTTCCATAAACTATTACACGGTAAACATGCATTGTTGAACACAGTAATTTTATTACAGAGGTCCAGAAGGAACATGTTTTGAAGGTGGTATATTTCCAGCTAAACTGATTTTCCCACCTGACTATCCTCTTAGTCCACCAAAGATGCAATTTATCTGTGAAATGTTTCATCCTAATAGTGAGTTGTAAATGTGATTTCTTAGATTACTAGTATAATGTTTTTTTTATTTTTTTCTATTAAAATGCCTTGCTTTAGTTCATCCACCTGATCTTATTTATCAATGGAGCTTACTTGTAAACATACATGGCATAATTTTAACAAATTGTTATGTTATTTTCTTCTGTACCATGCTGTGCTCATAGTTAACATCAGATGGGTGCACAGATGTTGTATGTATTCACAGCAAAATCAAATAACACAATATATTATGAGGACTTGATATTAAAATACCTCTCACTTTAACCAAACAAAACCCATGTGAAGTTTTTAATATGTTACTATACTAATTTCAGTCTATGCTGATGGAAGGGTCTGCATATCAATACTACATGCTCCAGGTGATGATCCAATGGGCTATGAAAGCAGTGCTGAGAGATGGTCACCTGTTCAAAGTGTTGAAAAAATATTGCTGTCAGTAGTCAGTATGTTAGCAGGTAAAACAAAATGTATTGGAATTTATAATCTTAAGACAGTCTATATAAGTTGTAGTCAGTAAAAAGTTTTAAGAGCAAGACAGATTATGTGTCATAAGTCACATATTTCAAAAGTAAAATTTCAACCTTAATTTTGGTGCATGCTTCTAGAAAAGTGATATCTATCTGACAAAAGTTTGCATTATACTCTATACATGGAAAGGACTTTGTCACTCCAGCCAATGACTAGCTGTGTTATTGTTACTCCGACCAATTTATTCACAGCAAAGTGAACAACAAGGAAATCTGGCACCCATTTTCTTTATACCTATTAACATGTAGTAATATTATGAGAAAAAGAAGATTGCTCAAATTGGCCTAAATGCATAAAAAATATTGACATACACGGTAATTCTTGGCGTAATTTATAATTTAATTTACAGTCATTAGATTTCAACGGACACCTTTGTATAATATATTTACTTTAAAAAAGACTTTTTATTTTAACGGGTTGGAAAACATACAAATCATTTTTAATGGCTATGGGTGTAGTAACATTCAGCCAAAGACTGATCGAAGTTGTTTATATAACATAAAAGCAAATCTATTTTGTAAAGATCGATAAAATAATTTTTTTTTTTATTACACTGTGGTATTAATATCCACCACTATATTATCATTTTCACTAGATGCAAATGTGCTCAGACAATTATTATAGATGGTAGGCGACATCATAAAGTCTATTGCCATACATTTTTTGCCAAAGACCTCCATAAACACATTATAATCTGTATATATGTTAGACTTTAAGGTCTCTTATATGTTAGAATCTATGGGCCTACGTTCCCTGACTATAAATTAATAAATAAATTAAAGTGTGATACACTAAAAATCTAAAATATGGTTATCTTAAAAACCTAACCTAAATCTCTTAGCTTTCTTTGGTTAACGAGAGTATAAAAATGCTCTCTAATCTGTGGCTCATTCACAATCATCACACAGTTTCTGTCACAGAGTACCTTATTATCTTATTATAACCGGAAATGACACCTGATTTTAAAAGTTACTCTTATGCATTAACTTTAAAAACAGGCAACTATCTGTTAATCTACATGCTGTATATACCTGAATCTAATCCATAATTTCGGTACTTGGCTTGATTTCCCTAGTTTACTATATAACTTTTTTGTTTTTTATTATTTTAATATGTTCAGTGTATACGGTTTATAGAAGTTCTCAGGGGTGTCTGTCAATAATATTCGTTTCTACAGTAATTTATATATAATTTCGAATCTAGGAAATAATTTTTCATGATTATTGGTCTTTAGGCCAAACATGTATGGAAGCTGAGCAATCTCCTTTGTATTAATTTATTACAAAAAATAATTTTAGCTCATTATATAAAATCTTTATTTTTTAGAACCAAATGATGAAAGTGGTGCCAATGTTGATGCAGCAAAAATGTGGAGGGAAGACCGTGAACAATTTAATAAGATAGCAGAACGGCTAGTCAGGAATACGTTAGGATTGCCCCCACCATAAGTATATTGTTTGAATATAAAAAAATGTTTTATGGGACTGGTGCTTGTTTTCAAGGTAATGTGCGACATACTAGAAATCATTGAAAAATTATCATCATTGGCTACTTGACTTTTTATTGGTGTAGATTTAAACAAATATATATTATATATAACTCACAATAATTAGAAAATGTTTTTTCATGGAAGGAAAGTAAAAATTTGTTCTAATTTTTTATATTTTTTATTGCTCAATACAGTAATTTAATGGTTTGCCCTGCACCATGATGTTTTGTAAAGATATATATGTTTTAAGTAAAAGGGTCCATAAGACCTGTGATAGTGAGTAAAATTACAAGAAAAAAAATCCGAAAAACCTAAATGTACTAAATACTACACCCTCTGTCATAACCATTTTCGCACTCATATCGTCGTATATATCACATTTTATTCTTACAGCTGTCAGATAGCCTCTTTATCTCCAATTGGATGTAAAATGATTGAAACACTACCTAAGTAGCTATAACTGCTATGTAAATTTATTATTAGTATGTAGGTAATATATTTTTATTTAAAACATATTGATGTTATGCATCAAGAGATTTTTTTTGTAATTATTGTGTTATATAAAGTTAAAGTTATTATAAAAGCAACAGAAAATTGCTTCAGATAAAACTTCATATTATTTTTCTGCTTTATCATACTATCATCATACCTATAGAGCAACCACAATATGTCTACAGTACCTACTTATATGTAGGAATGTCTTATTAAGTGTCAATTTATGTGTTAATGAAATAATTTTAAATTTGTTTTCTATGAAATAAATGATCAGGATACTTTGTATATAAGTATTTACGAGTTTCATTTCGTTTCTTTGATATTTTTATTCTTTCTTATCATATCCTACCCACTAAGACCCACTATCATCTAGCACTTAAATAAATTTCACTATAAACTTACATTTAAAAAAATATTCTTTGCTGCATATTTTCTAAATAAGATTTTTGTGATTTTAATAAAGATTTTTAGCAATTGTTTAATTTCATTAGCGTTCATTTCTAATGAAATAGTAGATTAAAGATTTAATGGTTTTAAATTGACAATATAGCATAATGGACTTGTCATAACGGGCGTTAATAATAACAATTAAAATCAATCTATGGGTCATTGTTCTGCTTTATCTATACATATAATAAAATGGTAGGAAAGTCAAAACTGTACAATGAATATTTTGTTTAAAAAATACTTGGGGTGTTGTATCTACAATGGATACCGAAGCCAAAAATATATTTTTTAGAATTTTTGTCTGTTTGTCTGTATGTATGTCCGGGATAAACTCAAAATCACTGCATGGATTTACTTTAAATTTAGCACGAATATTATTAAGAAGTCGGGTCAACATATAGGCTACATATTATCACCTACGGGGAACGAGCAGTGAACCTTTATTTCCAACTAACTCCACGCGTACGAAGTCGCGGGCGGCCGCTAGTAAAGTTATAAAAATATGTTTAAACAAAAGGCCTATTTCATACTGAAAATAACATAATGAAACCGGCCATATGTGACTTGACTGGTACAAAACCATCAAACTAATTCGTCGATAGGAAGTCCCAGCCTGGTTCACGGTTTAAGTGTGAAGAGGTAACAGACACTTTCGCATAACCGCGACTTCGTCTGCGTGGTCTAGGTTAGTTTTCTAGGATAAAAAAGATTTTTCCCGAAAATTAAACAACAACCTACGCCGGCGGCGTGACTTTATTTTTGTAAAAAATAAAGGTATTAAATTGAATTTGTACGGAAACCTCGGTGCGCGAGTCCGACTCACACTTGGCCGGTTTTTTTATTTAATTTATTAGGTCACCTTGGAGACGATACCTTTTAAATAAGACTTAGCCTTTGACTAGAAGTTATTAGTTCAATAGCCAAGTGGGGTTTTAGTAGGTACGGGTACATTCTGGGAAGTGGGAGCCAAGTTGAATGAGCACTTTTAGCAGATAAAAGAAACACTGCTTTCTGGGGTTAAAACAGCTGACAAGGTAGGCATCGCCTCATTCAGGCACAACTGGTCATCGATATTAAATCTGGTGCATATCCATTGCCACTCTAAGCTTGTCTATTCCGGTTTTCTGCCATTGCACAGGAAATGTCTCTCGAGACTGTGCTTTTATGATACCCAAAAATTCCGAGCTTGGGAATGCATTTAAAAGCTGTAAGAGGTACTGGCAATTTCAAGTAATTGTTTTTCCTTTTTTAGCTAAGAATTCTGAATTTAAATTATTTTTATTTCTAGATAATGTGTCCGTTAAAAATTCGAGTGATTATGGAGTATAAGGACCATCGTAGCAGAAGCAGCACGCAACATCAACGTCGTATGCGGATCGAACTACTAACGATCGCACCACCCGTTATTGGTTATCCCGTTTCCGTTCTGGAAATTTCAACCTACAAAAATGAACCCCGTGGTCGACCGAAAACTTTAGTCGACAATGGTGCCAATTCTAGCGTGATTCTCTAAACTTAAAACTAAATTTAACATCAGCCTCTCCTTGTCATTCTGTATAGAGAATGACAAAGATATACTGCTGTCAAATTTAAGTTTAGGTTTAGAGAATCATGCTAGAATCGACACCAATGACGAATTAAAGGCGCTTGTAGAAGCTGATGATTCTCAGCTACAGCTGAATTAGCAGCAGCTTTCGATGTTAGCGTCTAAACAATATTGGTCCATTTTCGTCAAATTGGCAAGGTAAAAAAAGGTTAAAAGGTTTTTTCTAGTTATATTTTCTTTAGATTTAAACATCAAGCAGTTACATGCTTTAAAATAATAAAAATTATAACTATAATTGCTATTTCTTCTTTCAAATGTTTAATACTTTTGAAAGTATTAATTTGACATTGTGGGTTACCTATAATGCGATGAGATGGCGCTGCCTTGCAGCTTAAGAATGGCTAGAAGAATTTCGACGCGGTCCGTGAGAGCCGCGGTAGCATAATTGGTCAGTGCATTCGCCCGGATTGCGAAGGGTGCGGGTTCGAGTCCCGTCTGCTGCCTGGGCCGCGTGGATTTTTTTCTAGTTATATTTTCTTTAGATTTAAACATCAAGCAGTTACATGCTTTACTTTAAAATAATAAAAATTATAAACGTAAAAAGGTTTGACAAATGGTGCCCCACGAATTGAATGATCGCAAGCGCCAAGTATACGTTGAGTCTGCACTGCTCAACAGTCACACAAACGATGGCATATTGAATTGCAATGCTACTGTGGCCATGAAAAATGGATTCTATTCGACAATCGCAAGCGGTCAAAAATCTAACCGACTTGCTGAGCGCGGTTTAATCCTGGTTCAGTACCTAAACAACGCCCCAAACGAACACTAACCCTTAAGAAAAGTGATGGTCACTGTTCGGTGGTCTAGCGCCGGTGTCATTCATCACAGCTTCTTATCGAACGGGATTTCCATTACTTCAGATGTGTACCGAGAAAAACTGAACGCACATCTCCAACAAGCTTTGGTCAATCGTTCGGCTCCGCTGCTTCTGCACAACGCGTGCAGGAGCTCATACATAAATGCGATGGAAAATATAAAGTAATTTAATTTTTCATTACTATATAAGTACTGTTTATTTTTTATTTTATTTTACCTCCTCATTTTTTATAGAATTGCTTAGAATGAGATTTTTTACCGACAAATTCCGATTTATTACTGCTCACACGTAACCGCTGGTTCAATGTTTTTTACCGCCCTTTTAATTATTATCTTGCTCAATGTATTCACTGATCCACTTCATTAATTGTTTACTTTACTGCTTAGTTTTAACTGCTGAACTAGTCATTAAACGTGCCATTTATAATTTTTAACATACGAAAACTGCGAAAAAAAAACGAAAAAATATAATGTTACAAGCTAGCCTAACCTAAAGCATGTGTATCTCTTGGACCCACCAATTTTGGTCAATTATTCCGTCGGGCAGCCGGTACATATAAAATGACCACGAAAATGAGGCAAAATATCGTCATCACATTCGTTCTGGGTGGTTTTCTTGAGGATTTAATTGGGGGGCCCAAGGTTTTTCGGGAAGCCCAGGGTAAAGAAAGAAGCTTCGCTTCGAAAGACACGCTTTGTGCCAGACCCGATCAAAGGCCTTTGCGGTAATAAGAAATTCTAAAAGACAAGGCTGTAAAGTCTTTGAATCCTTTCCTTTCTAGTATGAAAATGTAATAAAAACTAATCTTTTGGATTTTTAGTGCAAGGAATTATAGCCAATCCGCGCGTGTTTTTATAATCTTATGATCATTTAACCAATGAATAGCGGCATACTTGTGTAGACAGCAAATAAACGCACCAATAGTGTGCAGGTTTGAGCTCAAAACAAATCATGTCAAGATCTTGAGATCAAATACCTAACCTTTTTTTAGTAATATTCATACGTTGGCTATTGCGAATTTTTCGTAAAACTTAACTTGATAATAAGTAATGCTCCATTTATTTTAAACGAAAAACATATTGATTGTGGTATAATACATATAAATGAAATCTATGTGTGCTCATACCGCCAAACTTATTATTTATTATGACTTGCACTGCGCAATTGGCTAAAGTGTATTTATTTTTATTATAAAATAATATTTATTTAAATACATACAATGGCTACTACAAGTGCAGAAGCACAAGATAGGCTGAAATTGTATAAATTTACGAAAATACTAACCTTGAAAGTAGCCCAGATAGTCGTACAAAGCAGGCATGGCAAAAAGATAACTCAGGAATGTAACAACACAAAGGCAATTGAACATAATTTATCTTCATCACCTTCTAATTTACAATGGGTAAGTTTAACGTAATCACATAACAGTATTTAGTATTAACCGGATGTTTAAGTACCATTGATATTAGTTTACTAGTTTTATTGCTATGCGAAAGTAATATGTAGCTAAATTATTAAATGTTCATTGATAGCATAATTAGTCTCATTGTTGATATACTTGTGCCTGCCTTTTTTGTTTATAGTTTAACTTGTCGATTCCTGATGAGCCTGAAGTCACTTATGATACAAAAAAAGTTCTCAATGGAGAAGTAGTGAATGCTTTAGCGAAGGTACTATGTATTGAAATATCACTACGAACTAATGATGGTGATAGAATGGTACTTGAGATATGGACAGTGAGAATTGTACCAGGTGGTGACCCAAATATGAACTCCATATCAACAATATATTACCGTATGAGTATAATGTTGAAATCTACATTAAGCATATCAAGAATCACACCAGCATACAAAATGTCCAGATCGCAACACAAGGAAACTTATACTATTTCACATAAAATTTATGGTGGAGACCCAAATTTTGATCTCTTAGGTAAATATACCTTGATTTGTGGTATCTTATGTTGTGACTATTTGATTATACAAAACATACATAGCCTTATCTATAATGGCTCCTCTACACAATGGACCAATGCAATGGTCCTCCATAATTGGATGGCTTATGGCATGTGCAATGATCTTGAGATGGTGTCAGGGAAACTTTTTGTTCCTGTATTTGGTATTTAATTTTTTTTTATGTATTTTCTTTAGATTTAATACATTTACTTGATAAACTCTGACATTACTGTTACCTAATTTTAATACTATAATGACTTTACGACTACAGCTTTACTGATACATTATTACAAATTCTTTCCCTTAGGCGAAAAACATAAAACCATAAAAGTGAGTGATTTACGGACTTCTATTGGTACAATACTTATTGAAGTAGCCTATAGGACAAAGATGACCATTTTACCTGAGGATAAAATTAAACCACTGGATGGCGTGAGTTCTTCTACAGTTAGCGACATTATGGTTAAGAGTGACCATTTTTATGAAAGTCCTAAGTAAGTGAAGCATGTTTTTTTCATGACAATTATTAATGTTAAAACTTTAAGCTATAATATGTAAAGTCTTATTTTATACTCGCTGCACGCCCTCGCTTCGCTTCGGTGTAGAGCTGAAGTGTAGACTACAGTTTTTGTTCTCATTCTTGTATTATACACAATGACATTCATCTATGATTCTTCTTATACCTGCATGTAAAGTCTCAGCCCGATCAGTTTAAAATTGAGAAAATTTCATACAAACTTTCATTCCATATTTAATCCCCTTGGGGGTAGAATTGATCAAAATCCTTCCTTAGCGGATGCCTACGTCATAACATCTACCTGCATGCCAAATTTCAGCCCAATTCGTCCAGTGGTTTGGGCTGTGCGTTGATAGATCGCTGTGTTAGTCACGTTTGAGTTTTATATATATAGATTTATATTTTTGATATTTCAGGAAAACTTATGACAAAAAGGAAATAGATCTATCAAAACCACTCACAGCAGGAGCATTTGTTGATACTATTAAAATAAAAGAACTACATGATGCGCTAAGTCAAAAAATACCACCAGAACCTCCAATGTCATGGCTTTTAGCTGAAAAGGACAAATTAGATAAAGTGAGTACATAATTATAGTTTTTAAAACAGAGGACTATTCTGCTTATTCATTATTGCCACAGAAGGTTTGTTGATCCTGTTTTTGTTAAAATTGTGATACAACAGATGTCTTATTTATTCTTTATTTTTTCAGAAATTGAAGGGTTTGCTGGAGAAGACGGAAGAACCTGTGAAGTCTGTCCCAAGTAATGAAGGTGCTGGCACATCTTCCCATGCTTTGAGCAAAGCTATAGAAGTCCCTAAAGCAAATGGTGATAAATACACTAGTCTTATGGTAAATTACTAAATCAATCAATCAAGATGGTCATACTACTTATCACTCAGCTCAGCAGTGGAATAAACATTAAAAGTAACATTAAATGAGGACAATGTTAATATCCTATATCAATTAATTTTTTAAATATAATCACCATTAACTATCATACTAGGAAAAAATTATTGGGCTTTTAATAAGTCAATTTGAATGAAGTATAATTTCATTTCATTGAAATAAAAATTGAGGTATTAAACTTACTGCTATGCTGTTTCTATTAAAGGTAACAAATATGTAGGCATTTAATGTTTTTGCAGGAATTCCCATTCGCTGATGGCAGTCCTTTGACTGAATTGGCCACATTTTATCAAGAGTGTTTGCAAGCTAAGTCAACGAGTGATGAGTGGACTGAACTCATTGGTGAGTCTGTTTCCACTGACTCGGAGTCTCTCTCTCAACAGTTAAAAATGTTTGAAGAAGCTGTACCAGAATTTGATAACATGGTTGCTTCTATGTTTAGCAATTCTGACTGCTCTGATCATTCTTAAGACTGTGGTTGTAAATTATGGCCTTATTGTTATCGGTCATTGTTTTTACATTTTTTATTTTTTATTTCGTTGTTTCATGTTGAATTTTGTATTATGTATATTCAATTAGTGTTTTCCATTTCCAGTCAGTGACATGCATGGCGAATTATAACTAAAGTTAAACTATAATTTAATTTTATATTTTGGTTTTACAAAGTAATAAGGTACTGTACAGTACTGAAAATATAAACTTCCCTTGGTGGGGGCTAATTTGGGCCCCAATGAACTAATTTTTTCCTTGAAATAAATTAAGTTTAAAACATTGTGTGTTTGATAAGGTAGATTTTTTCAATTGAATTGAAGGACACTTGAATAATAGCATCCTTGCTGCTTGTGCTGTTTATTTAGTTTTTAGGGTTCAAAACCCAAATGGTAAAAACGGGATCCTATTACTAAGACACTGCGGTCTGTCTGTCTGTCACAAGGCTGTATCTGCTGAACAATGTGTCACAGCATGTAAACAACAAGAATGCAATAAATGAATATGAATATGAATGATAGCTAGACAGTTGAAATCTTCACAGATGATGTATTTCTGTTGCCGTTATAACAACATTCACTAAACAGAATAAAATAAATATTCAAGGGGGGCTCCTATACAACAAACACGTTTTATATGCCGTTTTTTTTAATAAAGGCAACAGGTAGGCAATCGAAATATTCACAGAATATTTAGTTGTATATACTACAACGAAATATTCTGTGAATAACTACTTTAAAAATAAAATATTTTTTTTGCCGTATTTAGTAAGGAACCCTTCGTGCGTGAGTCCAACTCGCACTTAGCATAACATAAAAATTGAAAAACATGGATCGATTCCAAGGTCTGTTTTTTTATATATTTGAAAGGCATAGAAGCATTCCGTCTGCCTGATTCAGTAGGCTATGGACGCCCGTAGCATCAGGAGTCGCCTAAAGCTGAACTTTTCCAATCTTCTTTTAAGGTAACCCATCAGCAAGTTTGGCGAGTAAAATGAACTGTTGTCTTTAATACTTTAAAGATAATAGTTTCTTCTATTGCTTTGTCATAGGAACGAATTCCGTTATTTTAACGAAATTCGTTCATCAGTAAGACGTCATGTTTGCTTTACGATATTCGACCTTAGATAGGTAACAAAAACGAACACGTTACTGTACATTTGAATGGGTTATGGGAAAAGATCAGATATTCTAGTACTCTGCGTAAAGCATTTCCCAGACAAAAAAAAATATTCTAGTAATCGATTATAAAATTATGTAGAACATTATCTTTACGTCTAATTTTATATTCACATATCAGAAATAAAATAGGTAAAAGCTTAAATCGATTGAAAATTTTACTAGAAGAGTTTCTACGTGGGGCCATGCACCAAAGAGATTGCTATGGCTATCGCTATGCAACCGATTTCATTTTGCAAAATGCAAAATAAGCGTGAGGTATTTGAAAACCTTCGGCGGTCAGAAAAAACAAAATAGAATGGTAAGCGATAGTAATAGCCATAACAATCCCGTTAGGCGATTGGCCCCAGACAGCAGATGGGACTCGAACCCGCACCATCCGCTATCAGGGCGGATGCACATTAGGGCCTGATGGAATTTGTTCAAAAATTTTTAAATGCAAAAACCCGTATATACGTTTTATTCTGATGATAAATCGCATTTGTTTTATTTTGTTGTTATGTTAAAAGTACATGTAAATTGGTAATTAAAGCGCCCTTCTTTTTAATCTAATTTCTTAGGTGATATCCAAAACAAAACAATATTTAAATCTCGCCCTATCTTTATTTACTTCACACCATTGGCAAAGATGACGTTTAACGTCACCGTTGTATTTATTAACACTATGCGATGTGACACAATGTTGGTTCAAGGGGCCTGTAATGTTTCATAATGATTAATTTATTGATTGTAATGCTTCTTCATGTTTAGTCACTATATTTATTATGTATTGTGAACTAAGGTAATGTATAAAGTAGGATACCTTTATCTGCTGCATTAGCATTAAGCTTAGTATTATTTTACAATAATATTTTTACTTTTCAATCGTTTTTAACACGCTTTTTTTAACATTGACCAAACTCAGCGAGTTTTTTTTATTTAGTTAATGCTTTTTATCCATACTCCCAGGACTAGTTTGCACTATGATTTTAAAATCAATTCATGACATATATCCATTTTTTTAAAATCGTTTAAAGTCTAATAGAGATAGAACGAGGTTCTTTCAATTTCATTTATGAGCTTTGGTATGAACCGAACGTTTCGTATGTTGCCTAATTTATAACCAGGTTGATTGTTATATAACATAAATATTACATTATAAGCATTACTAGATGTTTAGAAATATGTATAAGGTGTTTGGAAAGAGATATCTAAATCAACTGATCCAGACAACAAATGAAGAAGATATTTATGAGTGAATTTTTATGTCACAATATGTTTTTGTGCCATATATCAGTTATATTGGTTCACTGGAACTTGATGAGGCTTTCATAGGGCTATAATGTGTTGTCATCTATGTTAGTTTATTTTTGAAGGTAAAACTGTTAGTGCCTTTTCATCCGCCTTGGCTGTCGACGTCCAGCAATTTATTAAAAGTGTGCCTCAAAAAAAGCTATCGGCCTAAAACCAGGTATTCACCAGTTATTCACCACTAATAAGCCGAACAGCCGGGTCGAACGAATAGTCGCTTTCAGTACGCACAAGCATGCATTAGGTATGGTGATGTTATAAATCTTAAACCATGTTATATTAAAACTAGCGGCCCGCCCTCGCTTCGCTTCGGTGTAGAGCTGAAGTGTAGACTACAGTTTTTGTTCTCAGGCTTTTATTATACACAATGACATTCATCTATGATTCTTTTTATACCTGCATGCAAAGTCTCAGCCCGATCGGTTTAAAATTGACAAAGTTTCATACTAACTTTCATTCGTTATTTTATCCCCTTGGGGGTAGAATTGATCAAAATCCTTTCTTAGCGGATGCCTACGTCATAACATCTACCTGCATGCCAAATTTCAGCACAATCCGTCCAGTGGTTTGGGCTGTGCGTTGATAGATCACTATGTCAGTCAGTCACCTTTGAGTTTTATATATATAGATTCTTGGAATCTTAGTCATGTTTCCTTTAACTACCTTCGATGAGAGCTCTTAGTTGCGCATTTTGCAAATTTATGTTGTATCCTGATAACATACCTACTCGTTCCTGATACGTAGTTAAGTCTACCGATAAGGGTATATATTTGATGAGCACAATCATATTAAAAAAGTACAATTATTTTATAGTTAGTCTTAAGATTCATGTGTCATCATCATCAATCATCATTCGAACCTTTTAAATTTTCCTAACTAGTATCTAGTGCTTCTTTGAAAGGACATGGGAAAGTTTTGTATGAGCGACTGCCCTGGCACTGTATAAATACTATACTTAGTCATATTCAATGGTAAATGGCTGAATATTTATAATTTCTATGAAAAAAGGCTCAGGAACTTTTGATAAAGTCGCAATCTTGAAAATTATGAGAACTCCTACTATGTCATTACCACAGAACACAGCAAGTTACCTTACCACATTTGATAAAACATGTTGCCAATTATTTACTGAGTCATCAATTTTCTTTGAATCTTTCTTCCCATTTTTGTGATTAACTCTTCACAAAAAGCTTTTTTAAGCATAAATAATTTGTTATCGTCGGCCTGACAGGAAATCTGTGAAGTTTTATTTTGTCCATTTGCAAAAATTAAATGATAAATTATCATACAGCCTTGTCTCAAGCCTGATCAAAAAAATAAAATCTATTATTTTAGGCTTTCAGTGATTTGTTATAATAAAAATTAGGGCCAAATATGTCATAGTTTGAAGGACTTTAGAAAAAAATATTGTTTATTTCGATATACTTACACAAATATTTTTTGTATACATTTATTGTTCATTTATTTTGTATAACGGAACATTTTGCTTTTTAAACAGACATAAAGTCAATTTTTATACTTTTAAATATTTGATTATTTCACGAAAGTTGTATGAGAATCAGTGCCGTAACTAGCCTTTTATGCACCCAGTGCGAGCTTTCAAAACTGCGCCCCTGAAAAATGCTCTAACCAGGCTCTGAAAATAAAATTGACAAATGTGCATACAAATAAATCTATCTATTTATTGTTAACCAAAGTATGTAAGTACCTACTTAGTATATTTCTTTAAGATAAAAATTGTTTATTCAAAAATAGTTGCTCAAATACAGAAATGAGTACTTACTTTAAGATTACTTAAAGATTTACTTTCCTCGCTTTTCTCATTGCGAAGTCCTTTATTACATTTTCATATGACAGGAGCCGTGCTATGTCGCGTTCAATCGACAAAATTGCTAGGCCAGACAATCTTTCTTGACCCATCGTCGAGCGCAGATACGTTTTTATTAATTTGAGCTTACTGAACGATCTCTCGCAAGAAGCTACAGTCACTGGCATCGTTAAAAATATCTTTAAAACGACTACTATATTGGGAAACATTTCCTTTAAATCCAGTTCCACTATAGCTTTGAGAAGACCCATACTTGACTGACATTCACAATTATCAAATAATGTAGTCGCTTCAACTTGACTCTTCAAAGTTTCTATTTCGGACCAAAATTCTGTCGCATTTATATCTGCAGAATATTTGATGCTCAAATCAGCTGCATATTTTTTTAGTTCTTCAACCGAATATGTAGTAATGTGTTTTAAGGTCAAAAAACCGAAAGAGTTATGTATGTCGCGTAGTTTTTCGAATCGCCATTTTAATTCAGAAATGATTGTATCTATTGCTTCATTTATCTGAATTTTGAAACTTTGTTGCTGAGTAATGTCGTAGCCGGAGTCTGAACTTTCAATTAAATCGTGTCTTTTTACTCGCTTTCGTCGCTTTTCAGGAAAATTGTCTTCAATGCCACATTGTTCACAAATCTTTTTTGCCTTTTCGAAAACAATGTCTATAGTCTCGCGAATAT